AGAGAGAGAGAGAGAGAGAGAGAGAGAGAGAGAGAGAGAGAGAGAGAGAGAGAGAGAGAGAGAGAGAGAGTCATCAATGGTACACAACAAGAGCTCTGGTGTGGAAAACAGGAGATTGCCATATCTCCGGTCCTGGAGCTGGAACAGTTGGAGCAGGAGAGTCTGTTTGCAAACAGGACTATGGAGGAGATTGGGGCAGTGAGGAGAGCACAGCCATCTGTGCCCGGGCACAGAAAGCGTGTAGAGGGGAGTTAATTGGACAAGGGTTTGAGATAGACGCACTGGAGAGATGGAGACTGCAGTGTTCTCTGCACGCAGAGTTTGAACCAGAGTTGAAGGACAGTGGATAACAGGAAAGATGCTGACAGAAATCATCTTTGTCTTCTTCGTAGGTGCAGTAATCAGCAAGAAAGAACAAAGAGGGCATCGAATTGGGTGCATTGTAGTGTGTGCCATCGTACTTTTCATCTATTCTCTCATTTTAGTTTTGAAGGCAGACTGAAAGAAAACTTTTTTGTGTTTTAATCCTACATTGTCCATCTTTCCTGTAAGGTATCGTGTGCTTCTGCATGTTGTGGACTCTCACTTTTCTTTCCTTTTTTGGGTTCAAACTTCAGAATAGATTTTGGACCTTCGCCTGATGTTGGTTGTTTTTGCAACGTGTCCTTTCCTTCTACATAACCCCCAAATTATGCAAACCACCGAACATGGGTGTTGGGTGGGTATGTTCTTCTCTGTCTCTCTCATTGCCACTGTACAGATATGGCGTATCTCGAGAGCGTGTACGACAGGTAGAAACAGCTGCAATGCGGAAGCTACAGCTGCGGACAAGGAAGATGCAGCTTGATCAGTATCTTCATCAGGCATGCACATGAAATGGTTGCGATCAGAAGATGGCGATTTCCTCGATGCTCAAGGGTTTAGGGTTTTACCCTCACCACCCTTTGAGAGTTCTGTCTCTCAGACAACAACACCATTGGTTTGCAGTGCAATGACAGGAATTTCCACCTGTGCCATGTCATGTACGTTGCTGCTACATGTTCATTCTTCAACTTACAACACTCTGGTTTGTCGGTACATACTACATCCATTTATACATACCTGACTGTGTATATGAAGTGCAACTTGTGCTCGCCATGATACAGCTCTTGCGGAACATCCACTCCTCGGTAGGGTCTATAGACTCTATGCCATTCATTACCTGGCACGTGAGTTGTTGCCTACATGCCTTCCCCCAGCAGGATGGCGATACCATGGCTGCGTTCCACTGATTGTGTATGGCCCAACCTGCAGCTGGCCGGCGATGTGGTTCGGTGGGTTTATTGTCACGAGTGAAGAAGTGTTTCTCGATTGCGAACAGGTTACTTAGAGTTACGGTAGTTTATGACAATCCAGCAACCAGGAGCCACGTGCAATTGGACCTGTGTATAGACAGTACTGCCACGCCTGACAGCAAGTTGAATGCACGCACATGCACGTGCATTCCATGCCAATTCACACCATGCGTGGCAGCCATCTCAGTGCATATGAAGTACCCTGTAACTTATAACTTCTTTTCGCAGATGCTGGTTTTGGTGAAAACACTCGTAATCATTCCTAATTGTCCAGCCGTGGTCATATCACCAATGATGGTGTCATATCAATGTACTTCCTGCTGAAGCAGAGAATCCAGTCGGAAACTGTGGTGAGGGGAGTGCCTCCCTCACTGCTCTGCCAATCAATGGTTTACCCAGTCCAGCAGAGCCACCCATCGGCTTCTGGGCCTGTTCTCAGTCCAGTTCAGCGCTGCAGTATCTCGTTCCACAAGTCAACTGCTGCATATCTGATGCAAGTGGCGACATACCCTAAGGGGCAGGGATCAAGGAGCTCGCTGACTACTTGTTTGCCGACACTGTCGGTGTTTATACGTAGAGCTCAAGCTGATGGGCATGTTGGTGGGTGTGCTGCCGTTTGTGCAGCGAGTGAGGCACTTACATTGTAAATTGATCGCAATCATCATGATAGCCGTTTCCGACTGTAGACGGAAAGAACTGGCTTGGTCCAGAGTGGAGCCTGGCCATGTTAACTAGGCCACTGGGTTGGTTTCTACCTCAGAGCCAAAACATTACAACTTCAAATTCCAAAAGTATTACGTTTGTTTGTGTAAATGCAATGTGGTTATGAGAAGGGAAAGGGGGTTGTGCTGCCAAACGTTTGCCTCAATTTTATCATTCAATGGCTTTCGCATGTATTCATTGCATTTGCACAAACAGTGGCTCTTGCATGTATTCATGTGTGAAATATGAGAGCCTTTATGGCAACCTGATGACGGAGGAGGACACTATTTAGTGTGGATATGCGCAAGGGAGTGAGTGCCAGGGAAAGGAAAGGGAAGTAACAAGGCAGATGGATGCATTTGTAGATTGCCACCCGTGTGCAGATGGGACATCTGGGTGGATAGACGGATAGACGGATGGAAACATAGATTGATAGGTACATTGATGGATACATAGATGGATTGGTAGATCGTGGGAGGGAGGGAGGGAGGAGATGACGGGGCCTTCAAAAAGTAAATAGATAGAGGGGTAGATAGACCTAAGGACAATAGGTGAAGTGTGTGTGTGTGCATGTGTGTGTGTGTGTGTGTGTGTGTGTGTGTGTGCGTGTGTGTGTGTGTGTGTGTGTGTGTGTGTGTGTGAGAGAGCTGTCTCTTATACACATCTAGATGTGTATAAGAGACAGCTCCCCCCCCCTCTCTCTCTCCTTCTCTCTCTCTCTCTCTGTATATATTGTTACGTATCTATCAACTAAAAAGAGTGTACTTTGCGAAGCAAATGATGAAAATAGCAGATAACATGAAGGGCAACAAAACTGGTCTTTTGCCTTTTCCAGTGCAGCTCTTTCTTCTCTTTCCTTACTTTGGCTCTTTTTCGTGGTTTCTTCTTTATTTCATTGCTCAGCTCCCCTTCTACTGCGCCTCTCACGTACGGGGCTCACCACATTGATGTACTTGAGTGTGAGCTGCCCACTCATGAGTGCTCCATTACAGCCCACTTGTGCGCTATGAAAAAGAGGCAGAGTAATGGGAGAGGGGACAAAGAGTGAAGAAAGATGGCAGGATGGCGATGTAAAGAAGACGAAGGGAGGGTAGATGAAAGAAGACTCGGGCGTCAGTCTGTCCGTTATGACAGAGAGGAAATGCCCTCAGCCAATAAGCTATATAATGGTAGGTAGGTAGGTTTTTTTTTTTTTTTTTTTTTTTTTTTTTAATAACAAAAAACAGAACCTTACGGTTCTGGCTCCTTTTCCATTCTGAGGAGCATCAGTCCGGGTCCTATTCCCCCGGCAACTCAAATGAATTACAATGAACACTCACACACGCTCCTCCCCCTTATGGTAGGAAGGTCCGAAGGACGACATTGATTACTTCCGGGAGGAAGGATGTACCACCCCTTACCCCTGCCTAAGTTAGCCTGGTCTACTCTGCTCTTTCGTTGCTATTCTGGTTTCCTCTTTGCTCTGATACTTGTAGCTTGTCTGCTTGGGCTCCCTCCAGACTGTTCATCTCAGCTCCTTGACTGTCAGATACTCCGTACTTGCTGGAACTGCTGGTACGGCCTTCTGCGGTAGTCTTTGCTAAGACCCTTAACCCTATCAGACTTCTTGACGAGATTCTTGCACAAGTCTGAGACTCTAGCCTGAGATTTTGGGGTGGTGGAGAAAGGGATGATTGTGTTAACATGAGGGAAGTTAGATCGGATAATTGGTTCGTGGGGGTTGTTATAGGTGCTGTAGTGTTTTGAGTGGAAGAGGGGCTGGGTCGAGGTGGCTGTGGACTGGACTTGGTTAGTCTTTCATATTAACTTCGAAGGTCAGGCAATTCGGTCGAGAGGAGGGTGTTAGAGAGTTTGGTTTGTCCCATATGTGGGATTGTTGTTTTAAGGGGGGGGGGTGAGGCTATGTTGTGACGGGGTGGTAGTGACTCGTGAGAGAAGATTATGGTGCTCGTTGTGGGGGATGTGTTGGGTGGGTGATGGGTGATTGGTGTGGGGTAGTTTGTGGTAGGATTTGGGTTGTTGTGGGTATAAAGAGGTTGTTGCCATTACTTGTGGATGGGAGGATTAACCAGCTCTTTAGGTTAAGAGTATTGTTTTTAATTGTTCCTAGGTGGCCCGATCCTAAGGTAGGTGGGTACATACTACATATATTGCCACAGATTATCAACTAAAAGAGCGCACTTTGCGAAACAAACGATGAAAACACACCGACAAACATGAGGAGCACAATGAAACCATTCTTTTGATCATTTCTTCTTTAAGCTCCGGCTTAACTGTGCCTCTCACGTACAAGGCTTGCCACGTTGATGAAGTTGAGTTCACGCTGCCCGCATCCCTGTGTGCCATAATGGCCCACTTGCACGCTGTGAAAAAGTGGTAGAGCAAGGGTGGGTTGGGGGGGGGGGGATAAACAGAGAAACTATGGAAGGAATACACAGCAAAGGAAGACAAAGGGAAAGCAAATGAAAACAACCGGGAATAAGGGGAAAGTAAGGAGTGTAGAATCAAGATGAAAGTATGAGGCGGTAAGGCCTGGAAGGCCCAGCCGAAAAGCTGAAGGCGAAAACATGCCGCTGGTCCCCTCTTGTGCCCTGACTCCACGTCCAACAGTTGAAACGCAGCGTGGGCAGTTGAGCACAGTCCAGACCGAGCAATGCAACGAGCACAGCATGAGACCCAGAGCCTCTTGCTGGGTGCCGTGTCACACAAGGCCTTTCGGCCAATAGCGAAGTAGCAACTGGAGAGAGCCACGCCGTACAATGAGCGACCCTAATCAATTTGGTCCCAGGCCGCTATCTGAATCTGGGCCTGGGCGCAGATACTGGGTCTGGACATGAATCGACTGGGTACCAGGCTCGTCCAGCCAGGTAGAGCCCACTCAGGTGACACTTTCCATAAAGGAAAGTGCTCGGCTGTCATTTGCTGCGTGAGCCCTGCCTCAGTGGGAAGTGAGGGCGCTGGCCAGGATGATAGCGCATGCGGGCGCTGAAGGAGGATGCTGCTGGTGGCAGCGTCGCACGCCGGCCATAGCCGGGCCGGTGCGTGCTTGGTTGCCGGTGGGGTTGGAAGCTGGTCCTTGGGCGTGATGGTAGCCTATGAGGGGACAGACAGGGGTTGAGCATGGGAGAGAGGAGGATGTACGTGGTGTGTCGTGGAGGTCTGCATGGGCGGCATCTTCATGTTCATCGGTTATGCTGCTGAAGTTCTTCTGTTGCATCAATGTAGAGTAGGCTAGGATAGGTGTCGTGAGTCTGTGGTTGGTCGCCAGGCGGCAGTAGTGAGGAGTGACATTGGATACTTTGTTGATGGGGTCGAGAAAAGGGGATGACGTTGAGAAATGAGTTCATTGCTTGCTCTTCTTTTGGTGTATACTTGGTGCATTCTGCTTTCTGTGCGACACACGACTATCTGGTTTTCAATGTGATGATGCAATTTGGAATTATGTCTTCGCTCGCTCATTTCCCTTCCAAAAGCATAGGAAAAGGAATGAAAGAAGGCTCAGGAATCAGTCTGTCCTTGACGACAGAGAGGACATACATTGTAAGGATGAGATGGATGAGGACATGGAAGACCTATCTGGGTACAACAATTGCCACAACGACTGGCATTGAGCATGGCCATCAAACACTCCCGGCAGATGGCATGTCGATTGCAGGCCAACATGAAGGAAGAACGGGCGCCACAAAAGACCATACATTCAGTATAACGCCCATGGCCACAAAACGGACATATAGTGTCTGGATGCGGAGGGTGCCTGCGGTCAGGAAAGAAGGGACGGTCCTCTGCGCATATGGATGCAGAACCATGTCATTGTAGTGATTGTGACAGAGACGATGACAGCTGCAGCCGAGTGGAACAGTGTTTGTTGCTGTGCAAAGGAGAAGGTCACAGAGTGTTGATACATTGCCCTGCTGTGGCACAGGGGCAGAGAAATGATCTAGTCTTCGACATAAAAGAGTGTGCGGACGGTTTGGTGTGGCAAGAAAACAGCACCGATCTATACGAAATCAGCACGATCAGTCATGTCATGTTTGACAATATATATACATATACAGAATCTGTAACAACTGGCTGGACTTTTGCAGCTGCCACGACAACACCTACTCACCGCATGCCTTCTGTCGGCATCCCCCATCAACTCTTGCTAAGGGCTGGACCTGCTTCATGCACTCGCGCCAACGCTGCTATCCTACACATGTGACATGCCTCTCATAGTGGTGCCGACTCATGCTGCGATGGTCCCTGTATCATCCAATTCATTCCTTGCCCGCATGAAGCTCCCGTCCTGCCCCTGCTTGCTCATCTGCTGCTGCTGCTGCAGTTTCTACAGCTTCTGTTCCAACTGCTGCAGTGTCCACCCCTACAGTTTCCATTGCTGCAGTTTCCTCTGCTGCAGTTCTCACTGGAGCAGTTTCTACCACTGCTAAAGTTTCCTCTGCTGCAGCTCTCACGGCAGCAGTTCCAGAGCTTGAATTCCCTCTACTGTAGTTTTTGCTGCTACGGCGTCCTCTGCCGCAGTTCCAGTGCAAAGAACATTACAGTTTCTCCGACACTCATGTACTATATCTCAAACTCCTGCCCAATCAACCCCCGTCTCATCTCTTTCTGTGCTCGGCTGCAGACGGCTGTGATCTCATTATCATCCTCGCCTCCTCCACGGTCTCGCTTGCGAACAGATTCCTCTGGTCCTATTGTTCCTCTTACTGCACCTTCGTTTTCCGGAGACATGAATCTCCGGTTTGCCGTAACACTACTCCTATTGTGTATTGTCGACGGCATGCACTGCATCATCACTCATCCGGGGATCAGCAGCCTGTTTTTTTTTTTTGCCCTCTGTGCCTGCTCCACCACAGGTCGTTGATTTTGTTCCAAACCACAATTTCCACTCTTATGCCCCCTCCATAAGACTTGAAACCATGACAGTCCGAATTCTTGCGGGAAGTGATTTACGCCCTGCAGCATCAAATATTCACAAGTTACCTGCAGAACAGGAGACAATCCCCACCCAGGCTGCACTCGCATTTCAAGGGGCAGTCCCCACTCAGAATGTGGCCCCTTAGAACGTGATTTGCACAAACTGCAAGTTACCCCACAAGGCGTAGACCATAATACCATATGGGTGATCTGCAATTGGCTGACCAGCATCATTTGGCTGAACTATGAATTTCTGCCCCACAAGGCGTAGACCACAGGTCTTATCTGCAAATGACTGACCCAGCAAACAGGCCAAGACATTTTGGGCTCGCAACACCATCTGGATGATCTGCAAATTGTTCGCCAGGATCCGCACACTTCAGCCTGAGATCCCCTCCAATCTCTTTGGCCTGGCTGCAACTAATATCTGTCTGCAGGTTCTCCACCGCCCGCTTTATACAGTTCAGGACTCCCTTTCAATTGCTCTTCCGCTTGACGCTGATCAAGCTTTACAATTGCGGTCCTGCAAGTAGGACTGAGGGGACCGCCAATTTGAACTGTGCATTGTGCAATCGTCGACCAGCTGAGTGGTTCCATCCACCATCTCACATCTCTGCCCGCTTTGTTCACGGATCTGGCACTTACATGGCAAGTGTACATGGCTCTGACCATTGGGAGCTGCGGTACAACGGCACTATGGTGAACCATAAGAGGAGAGACACCAAACGAGGGGCTGTGACAGACTGTTTGGCCAGACTTTCACTGACTCATCAGGAGGCTGAACCCTCTACAGTATGCGGAGTTCCCTAACTAATGATACTGAAAGTGATAATCCACCTTAACCCCAGTTGTGGTTTATCATCAATGACTGCCTGACAACTGATACCCTGAGGTGGGCACCAACCAGACTATCACTCACCCACACCAGACGGAAAACTCTACAGACTGCAGGTTCACATTCCAGCACCAGCCAGCAGAACACCCACTAAACAAAGAAAGGTTTATAATATGTAGGTTACCAAGTGTCCATGCCCACGGGTTGGTTGTCCCGGATCCGGACAGCCTATGTCCCGCCATTTCGGAGGGGCCACATGTCTTCTGACACGTGGTACCTGTTGCGCTTCATCAAGGGAATCCCATTTGGAGAAGAACGAAAAAAAAAGAAAAAAATGCAGGTTGATGCAGCAGCACCTGCAGCAAGACCCTCGTGAGCACCTGCAGCAGAAGCAGAATCAGCAGCTTCTGCTGCTTGTAAGTTGTAAGGGAAACGAAAAACAAAGACAAAAAAAAAGTAGCAGCACCATTCCATGCACACACACACAAATACACAGTGGGGGTTGACTGATTGATTGACTGGTTGTAACAGGAAAACAAAAGCAAAAAGGGAAAAAAGAGGGTAGGCAGAGGAAAGGCGGCTGAAGGGGAGGCGGAGAAGGACGAGGAGGAAGAGGAGGAAGAGGAGGAAGTGGAGGAAGAGGAGGAACGAGGAGGAACGAGGAGGGGGAGTAGCTGGAGGAGAAAGGAGGAGGAAGAGGAAAAGAGGCAGGAAGAGGAGGAGAGGTGGAGACAGAGGAGGGGGAAGAGGAGGGGAAGGAGGTTGCTATAGAGGGGACGACGAGGACAACGAGGACCACAACGACGACAACGGAAAAAAAAAAAAAAAACAGTAGTGGTCGTTCTCCTTCTTGATCAATCAATCAATCAATCAATCAATTGATCCATCGATCCATCCATCCATCCATCCATCCATCCATCGCTCCATCGCATCCATTGCATCCATAGCATCCATCGCATCCATCAGTCAGTCAGTCAATGGATCGATCCATCCATCCATCAGTCAGTCAGTCAATCGATGTTGACTGACCAATCAATAAATCTATCAATCTATCAATCTATAATCAAACAATCAAGATCAATCAAATCGTTCAATCTTGATCGACTGATTGAACGAATGGTTAGCTGGTTGGTTGGTTGGTTGGTTGCTTGCTTGCTTGCTTGGTTTCTTGGTTGATTGGTTGGTTCTTTGCTTGAGTGAGAGTGAGTGCGTGAGTGAGTGAGTGAGTGGAATCTTTAAAAGGGAAGAAAAATCCTAAGAAAAAGAAGAAAAGGGGCAGGTGGATTGGTTGGAACCAAACAAGGGATACAGGTATAGGTGCTACAGAGACAACGAACGAGGATGGATCGTACTAGAAACAGGATGCTAAGCGGCCTGAGGAACTGTTAGGAGACCCCCCCCCCCGCGCCTCGCCTGACTGGGTGCTGCCAGTAAGCCTTCTGGCCAGCAGGGCAACCCTCCGAAAGGTCACGGTTTGGGGGGAGGGGCGCCCCGAAGCAGTCCCCCCCTTGCTAGGTGACTAGTGCCACAAGGGATGGGCTGACCCTCTGTCCCATCTTTTCCTCCCCCCTTTCTTCAGTTGTAAAATCATGCTTGCCGGTGATGAGCAACCGGACTGAGGACCACCAGAATAAAAGGGGCGTATGTTTGTTTAAAAAAAAAAAAGAATGGGGGGCAGGCAGAGGGGAGGCTGAGGAGCATGAGGAGGAGGAGGAGGAGGAGGAACAACAAGGATGTAGAAGTAGAGGAGCAGCGTTTAAGGAGCTCAAGGTTAGTGCTGTAGGAGCTAGAGGAGAGCAAGAGAGGCGAGGTGAAGTTCACTCACCTGGCGGAATATCCTGAGGTCCGCCACCAGTCATAGCTGGTTTTCATCTTCTTCCAGACACCTGCAGTGCATCAGCAGCTCAAGGCTCTGTGTATCACCTGTCAGTGTTGGTTGCATAGATAGCTGGTTTTCATCTTCTTCCAGACACCTGCAGTGCATCAGCAGCTCAAGGCTCTGTGTATCACCTGTCAGTGTTGGTGGAGAGAGAGAGAGAGAGAGAGAGAGAGAG